AATTCCCTAAGCTCTGAGGTAAGGGGAAGATTGCAATGCATCCCTTGCTCATCTGATTGGAACATAAAACATTTTTGTCTTTGTGCTGATAATGGCTTGGGTGCTGAAGTACCTCGACCAGATGGGATTGCTTTTCAATAAAATCTTGAATTCATGCCTAAAATCTCCTTGATTTCCTTCTTATCTATGACAAATAGAAATTGCCCCCAGACAAACAAATGAATCTCTAATTGTCAGCCCTCCCGGGTAAACCAGACAGGGAACATAAGCAGATGAACTAATTCTTCTTTATAATGGAAGGATACATTAGCAGAATCTTGCAAAGTTGAAAGTATAAACCTCCCACTGCCACTTTTAATTTCTTGATCCATTAGGGTGGATCTTTTCTAAGTTTGTTACTCTATCTGTTAAGCCAGGGGTCCTCAAACTTTTTAAACGGGGGGCCAATTCACGGTCCCTCAGACTGTTCGGGGGGGGGGGAACCAGCTGGGTGGTCATGGCTAGGTGGTCATGTGACTGGGTGGGCGTGGCCAATTTAGCAGTCCAAACAATACACACAAATTAAACTTTAATTTGTTATGCTACAACCTAATAGATTATCTTGATTCAACAGCTGGTTTGGATTGACTGCTGATATTTAGTGTATAAGTTTGCACTTTGTGTATCCTCTTATACTTATATATACCGTATTTTTCAGAGTATAAGATGCACTGGAGTATAAGACGCACCTTAGTTTTTGGGGAGGAAAATAAGAAAAAAGCTGATTGGCAGGTGGATTGGCCCCCAGAATATCCCCAATCAGCTGTTCCCAGAAGTGAATCTTAGCAACAGGTTCCTTGGTTGTGAGCTCTGTGCCTTGCTTTTTTTTTCTTTTGCTTATTTTTCTGCCTCTGAAAGCCTCCGAAACAGCTTCAGAAAAAAAGCCTCTGAAGCTCTGTTTGGGGGCTTCTGTTCTGAAGCTCTGTTTGGGGGCTTCTTTTCTGAAGCTTCCTTTCTGATGCTATTTTCAGCCTCTGAAACCTCCATTTGAGAAACTGGGCGGGGCTACATTCGGAGTATAAGACGCACCCAGATTTTCACCCTCTTTTTGGGGGGGGGAAAGGTGCGTCTTATACTCCGAAAAATATGGTATTTGCAGTTACCTTCAAACTGCATTTGAATTTAGGTTTTTCTGGGCATGCTGTTGCAGTGGTAATGCTATTATTCATATAAGAGTAAATCAGCAACACTTCTCTTTGTACAAACAGGCAGCTCACCAGCAGATAGCAACACATAATTTTGCTTTGTGCTATACTTGCCTTGTAAGCAGGGAACTGGGAAAAAACATCCAGCAAGTCCAATGTTTTGCTTGAATTTCCTGTCATTATACAATAAAACTGGCCATGGTTTGTGTGTGGTGTTTTATTTTTTTAAAATAATCTTCGTAGATAAGTAGGTAACAGGAACTACTACCTCACTTGATTTTATGACTTTGGGTGTAAAACAAGGGAATAGGGCTCAATTTACTACCACAATTGGGACTGGAATTTTTCATTTCGAAGTCAAAGCACCATATAACCAGACTTTATTTTAAAACCATTTTTTCCACCATTTGTTAAAAAAAAGACAAATCACAGGATTGTTAAGTGAATCACGTGGTTGTTAAATGAATCATATAAGCATAAGTCCAAATCCTTTCCTTTGTTTAGGTTGGGGCTTTTTTTGCCAGAAACCAGCAAACAGCATCACAAATCAAGCTCACAAGACTGCAGGATGCTGCAAATGGTTGCAAATGCGAATAAGTTGGCAAGTACCCAAAATGCTGCCATAATTTCAATGGAGTAACTGTGTCATTTTGAATTGCACCCATGGTCAATTTTTCATGGTATATGGAAGATTTTAAAAGAGTTTAATGATACAAGTAAATGCCAGAACCTTAACGAAATGTGTGCTGTACAAACTATTATAATTTTTCCATAGTTAGCATAAGGAATACTAATATATATTCCTTTCTAGAACATCTTACAGCAGGCTCGGAAATCCCTTGGAAACAAAAGAGCAACAAGGCTTTATTACATATTAATTTTTTAACACTCTCCCGTGGTCTTATTATATGTATGTTTTATTATTTTTAAAGGTTATTTAAGATATGTTTTATCATTCTGTTTTTAATATATGCCATCCAGAGTCACATTCATGAGCTGGGTGGCTATATAAGTTTCACAAATAAATAAATAATAAAGTTACTTATTTGCTTATAAAACAAGAGCCATAAAACTTTTTAAACGTTGTGCAAAATAAACTTCAAATATGACTTTATATATGCCAAGAGTACTTGAGCGCCACATCTCTGAATCTGTTTTAAGGGAGAAACTTTCTCTGCACCGCTAGCACCATATACTGTATATTTTTTAATTATGACAATGAAAATCTTTTTTAGATAGGAAAACTCTGCAAATGTATACAGATTTTTGTCCCTAAAATATAAAAAGTACCAGTCACAAACTTACTTTCTCTTTGTTCCCGTTCCTTTATTATAGCATCCAGCCATTTCTGTTTGTCCTCTGCTGTCTTGGCCATACAGACAAACCATTTGTTTTTTGCCGTGTTGTGTATCTTCCATCCATTTGTTACTGTGTAACCATTACTGTGATAATCCGCTGCAAAAGCACAAATGTACCAAGAAGAGAGTGAGTGCAAATCTGGAACCTAAAAAAAAAATAAATTCAACCTGGGCTTCACTGTTGTCCTTTTTCTATGGTAGTAATAGAGACAGCTAGATAGGTGTTCCAAAAATTTCATCACAATTTTTAGATATTGCATTGGACCACAGATCCAATGAAACCTGGATCCTATCTTGCATGCCACTGAAATACATTGGTGGGGAATTCTGAAAATAATACTGAGTACTCCAATTAAGAGAATGATTATATCAAGTGATAGAGTCAACCTTCAGCTTCATCTGATGGTTACTTGTAGCAGAAATAGAACAGTTGATCTGTTTTGTTTTTAATCTTAAGGGAATTCAGGCTAATTAAAAATCAATTACCGTATATACTCAAGTATAAACCGAGTTTTTCAGCATTTTTTATGCTGAAAAAAGCCCCCCTCGGCTTATATTTGAGTGAGGAAAAAATGCCTTTTTTCCTGCAACCCGTTTTGGCTTCCAGGGGCTGCAGGGTGGCTTGCTAAGGCCAAAATGGGGCGTGGGGGGTGTGTGTGTGTGTGCCTAGCAAGACTCCCTGAAGCCCCCTGGAAGCAAAAACGGGCTTGGGGGGGGGGGGCTTCAAGGGAGAAAGAAACAAAGAAATCCTCACTGTTTAGGGAGATCGCCACGTGCACTGAGCTTGAGTTGAGAGTTTATTGTAATAGGCTGGCTGCTAGCTATCCTTGCTCAGGCTAAGCTAATCAATAGCGGAGCTCTAAGAATGCCAGATGAAAAGGAGAAAGGAAGGGAGAAAGAAAGAAAGAAAGAAAGAAAGAAAGAAAGAAAGAAAGAAAGAAGAAAGAAAGAAGAAAGAAAGAAAGGAAAGAAAGAAAGAAGAAAGAAAAAGAAAGAAAGAAAGAAAGAAAGAAAGAAAGAAAGAAAGAAAGAAAGGAGAGAGGGGGGGAGGATGGGAAGGGTAAACCCTTTTAGTCACACCTCATCCTCACTGTTTGGGGATCCCTAAATTCACTGAACTTGAATTGAGAGCTTATTGTAAGTGCCTGCACTAGCTATCCTTGCTCAGGGTAAGCTACAAAACGTTTCAAAATGTCTGGCTTTTCTTCCTCCTACCAAAGACCTTCTGGGGTTCTTAAGAGAAAGGAGAAAGAAAGGGAGAAAGAAAGAAAGAGAGAGAGAGAAGAAAGAAAGAGACAAAGAAAGAAAGAGAAAGAAAAAGAAAAAGGAAGGGAGAAAGAGAGGGAATGCAGGTATCTCTTAACAGAGGCTTGAACTTGTCTGAAATTAGATCAAGCCCTACATCACTTAACCCAATGTATCAGATTAAATTGTTATTGAATTATTTTTGGTATATATACTACATTCTCTTGTGTAATTTAGTTATAGTATAGTTTACACTATGCACTTACACAGCTAGTTTACTGTTTTTCTTTGAAATAAATATTCAAAAACATTTAACCTACTGATGCCTGAATTAATGTAATTTTATTGGTATCTACTTTTATTTTGAAATTTACCAGTAGCTGCTGCATTTCCCACCCTAGGCTTATACTCGAGTCAATAAGTTTTCCCAGTTTTTTGTGGTAAAATTAGGTGCCTCAGCTTATATTCGGGTCGGCTTATACTCGAGTATATACGGTATACCTTAGTGACACAGTTTTTAAGGGAACTGATGCACATTGGTACACATTCGATTACATTAATTTTCAGGTCCTTGGCTTAATCTGGTGATTGAATTTTAGGGGTTAGTGCTAAAATGAACTACCAACTAACTATAATTTAGCAAAGTTACGAGTTGCCAAGGTTTGTATGTTCTGGGGATGGATTTTCTAGATCTTTACCAGACCTAGTTGACTGTATTAACAGAGACTTGGAATTTAAATACCACTTCAGAAATGCAGGTATTCAATCCAAACTAAAGTGACGCCTGCCAAGAAAACAACTGGATTTTTCTGTGACAAATAAAATAGGCTTGTTCATTTGTTTGCTTACTTAGTTATTTAATTTCTATGCACCCATTCCTGAAGACTCAGAGCAGCTAACATTCAAAATCATTTCATAAACTAAAGACAACACCCTCCAAAATAGTACATTTGCTTACTCATTTAAACATTGGCCACCTAACTCCAGTGGAATAAATGTACATGCAATATAAGCAACATGAATATGTCCTCATTGAACAACCACTCATTCAGTGAACATTCAAAGTTATGATGGTGCTAAATGTGGAAGACTTACCATAGGTCCTCATATGCAGCCATCACAGCACACCTGTTGTCACGATCACAATTCATACACTTGACAACTGGCTCATAATTGTGACTCTGCAGTATGTCACAATCATCTAATTGCCATTTGCAATGTTCACAGCTGTTTTCCAACAAGTTAATGGAGTTAATGAAAAAGCAGGCAGGCGGTCCCAAATGATCACATGACCATGGGATGCTGCACCCATACCACAACCATCACTTCAGAAATTGAGCCAGAGCTGTGAATCCAGCAAGATCCCCCAAATCACCTCTGAAAAGGTATGTACAATTCCATGAAGAGTCAAAAAGAAGACCATCATTGCCCTGTCCTTTTGAGACAAAAATCAATTGGTCCTTACCTGTCCCATCTTCCACATTCTCAACCTCCATTACTTCTGTGTTTATTCGCCCTCTGAAAATGTAGAGGGATCCGTTGATAGACTTGGTACGCTTAGATGTTTTCTTCCCAGCAACTCTGTAGTTAATGAATATATAATGAACAAAGATGTTTATTATGTATTGGACAGTTTCAATACAACAACGTGCCCCTTACAAACATCCTGCCACCTGAAATTGGTATGGGGATAGGAGTATATATGCCATCCCCTGTATTGGTAACCGCATAACCATAAATACTGTAATCATAAACCTGTTGTGGAGGTGTATTTTATAAAGGCAATGATACAGGCCCGTAATGACAGATGGCAGAGGAACAGTTGGCAACTAAAAATACAATCCAACTTTATGACAGGATCTGAAACCATAGTAATATTAGGGTGGTTAGTTAATTATATGTGTATGTGTGCAAGTATGAATGTTTGTATTGTATTGATTTATGTATTTGCCCATCCCTCAATTGCTTTTGTTTAGTGGTTATTTAATTTGATTTAAGACAAACGTTCTCAAGGGTCAACCAAAAAAGGACGCTAAGTCAGAAGATTCAGTTTAAGCAGAGACTCTAGATACTGATGCTGCTAAAAGTAGATAACACCTAAGAAATTAATAATAAGAATCCTGCTGGATCAAACTCAATGTAGATCAGCATTATCTTCTCCCTCAAGGCTGGCCAAGATGCCTCTGACAAGCACACAAGTAGAATATAAACTTGTCCACAGTTTTCTTAATCACCATTTAATACTATGACAGCACATCACTGTAGGTGACAATGATAAAAACGAAGAAGCAGACAAACCACAGGCAACAGCAAGAAGCAAACCTGCAGAAGGGGGACTTCAATCCCTTTCAAAGGGCTTGAAGAGCCAGAGCTTCAAAACCTTCTGAAATACCTGCAGGATGGGGGAGGGGTCCATCTAGATCTTGGGAGGAACCTCATTTCAGAGGACAGTTATTATAGCAAAATAGTGCATTTCCAAGGTAGACAGTACTGTTTAATTGAAAGAACCAGGACTATGGTAAACCTGTTTGATCACCTAGTAGATACTATGGGTGGTCCCTCAAGCCTTAACTGTATAAGGCTTTCTAATAACGAACCAGAACCACACCTTGAAATGCACCTGAAAACAAACTGGCGCTCTTTCATCTTGCGGAGCAGATATATTACATGGGCATGCTGAGGCACACCCATCACTGCCTGTGCTGCTACATTCTACATACATGTATGTAGAATGTACATGCTACATGCTACATACATGAGCCACGGTGGCGCAGTAGTTAGAGTGCAGTACCGCAGGCTACTTCTGCTGACTGCTGGCTGCCTGTAATTTGGCAATTTGATTCTCACCAGGCTCAAGGTTGACTCAGCCTTCCCAAGGTGGGTAAAATGAGGGCCCAGATTGTTGGGGACAATATGCTGACTCTGTAAACTGGTTAGAGAGGGCTGTAAAGCACTGTGAAGCGGTATATAAGTCTAAGTGCTATTGCTATTCTGATCTGGTTGTAATTGTGAACTGCCCAGAGTTTTGTTTTAAGATGGTCAGCCACGTAAATCTTATAAATAAGTTTAATAAATAAAATTTTCAGGTTTCAGATTGTCTTCAAGCTGTGAGGTGGCCAAGGCATGTCTGAAGGGTTTCCTGATCTAGGAGAGAGCACAACTGTCATGCCAAACAAAGCCATGTAAAGGTCTTCCTGCATGCAACTGTTCATTGAGCAAAAGCTCTGAGTCCAGGAAGACCCCTCACATTGCACATTACTCTTGACTGAGGAAGTGCTACCCCTCCAATATTTTCCCAGATCTGGATGCCCGAAACACAATCCCTTAGCCTTAATAGGAAAAAGTCAGAGACAGTTCTTCCCCATTTACACCCTGCATAGTCTCAAAACAGAGGCTCAAGAGTCTCATTCAGCTGGCCTGGTGTCAAAAGGTATAACTGGGTGTTATCAGCCTACTGATGATACCAAACCCTAAACCAGCAGATGACCTCACCCAGTTGTTTCATGTAGATGTTAAAAAGAAAGGAAGAGTGGGCAGAACCTTCTGGCACCCCACCTAGGGAGCAATCTCTTTCACCCAACCAACACCAATTGAAACAGCCCTAGAGAAAGGAAGACAACCTCTGTAAAACAGTGGTCCCTATTCCCAATACATGGAGGTTACTTAGAAAGATACCACTATTAATGGAACTGAAAGCCACTGAGAAATCAAGGAGTACCAGGATAGATGCACCACCCCATCTCAGCTACACTACAGGCATCTACGGCATGACCAACGCTGCCTCAATACTAAATCCTGGCCTTGACTGAAAAAGATCTAAATAATCCACTTTTCTAGGGTTATCATCAACTGCAGATTAGCTACATTATCCACAATCTTCCTCAAAAATAGAAAGTTGGGGACTACATGATAATTATGGAGAATATTTGGGATTTGTCCCAATGGTGTTTTTCAAGAGGCAACTGGACTTCCTTCCCTTTCCCTGAAGATGTTTCACTTCTCAATCAAGAAGCTTTTTCAGAGAAGCCAAATGTCATCAAGAAAAACAAAGAATTAAAAAAGTTAAAAATTATTAAAAGTTGACATTTTGAAACAAAAAAGGAAAAAAAAGAAAAACAAAGAAAATCCAGTTGCCTCTTGAAAAAGCATCTTTGGATGCTTTGCCTGACCTGGATGACTGAGAATCTCCATAGACATTTGAAGTCAAGGACTTTGCTGAAATAATAGAGTTTTTGTTTGTTCGTTGTTATTGTTTTGGAACAATATTTTGTTCCAAAACAGTATTTTGCACACTTCACAGAGATCTGTCCAAGGTTCTGACAAGCCTTTTACCTTTGTCTTTTTAAGAATGAATAGATAAAATGTGACATTAAATGAATAGATAAAATGTGACATTAAATATACACATGCCCTTCTTTTTACTACTTTGGTTAGGCATTCTTGAGGATCCAAAAGCTGAGCTATGGCAGAACAGAAATCTTCATAGCTACCTGTTTGGGCTGACCTACTAAGTGTTAAAAAAAAGGTTTTGAATATTATAGATTGTATGATTCTGTTTTTGCTGTACAACCTGATTAATAATCATCATGTGTCAATTAAAGATGATCCTCTTAGAGTTAGGTCAGGGAGTGGGGCAAGGAGGGGAGTACACCATTAAAAAGTTCTTATTATGCTGGTCTATGACCATAATAGCAATCACACTTAAGACTTATATACTGCTTCACAACCCTCTCTAAACAGGTTACAAAGTCAGCATATTGCGCCCAACAATCTGGGTCCTCATTTTACCCACCTCAGAAGGATGGAAGGCTGAGTCATCCTTGAGCCTGGTGAGACTCGATTTGCCAAATTGCTGGCAGTCAGCAGAAGTAGCCTGCAGTACTGCATTCTAACCACTGCGCCACCATGAAATATTTGACTTTATTTTTATTTTACAATATTAAATCATTTGTATCCACCAGACTAAATTTCATTCCAAGCAGTCTGGGTTTTTTTTTTTTGTTTGTTTGTTTGTTTTTTTGAAACAGCAAGCAACACAAAAGCATAAAGTCTAGTTTATAAAGGATGAGCAGGTGGCAGTAATCAGTGATTTTTACACCCACATAACTATAAACTACAAAACAGAATGTGCGAGTAAGTAAATTTGTGTTACAGCAATAAATTCTAACTAGAAAGGCGGATTTCACTACCCACCAACAATCCAACGCACATACCTGCATGGATGTGAACATTTCTATCCATGATGCAACACTGTTTCAGTAGAATGTGAACAACTGCACTGAGTAGGCAAAGAAAACATTGTGGTTTTCTCCCTCAAATACTGCTACCTTCTTTGGGTCACTTGATAATGAATCGAAAGACTTGTGAACCAATCCTATAAATTTGGCTCCAATGTATCTAGATATATCCGTGATGGTGAACCTATGGCATGCATGCCACAGGTAGCACACGGAGCCATATCGGTGGGCACGCGAACTCAGCTCCGGCACGCTGATTTTCGGGCCTTCTGGGCAGTCAGCAAAGAGGCCAATTCCAGCCTCCGGAGGGCCTCTGGGGGGTGGGGGGTGGGGAAAGCCGTTTTTGCCCTCCCCAGACTCCTAGAAAGGCTCTGGAGCCTGGGGAGAGTGAATAACGGGTCTACCGAGCCCACTGTGCCATCACGTGCCAAAAGCGGGGGGAACATGGGGCAGTCGCGCGCACATGCGTGGGGAGGCAGGGCACATAGAATTATGGGTGTCGGCGCGCGCGCGTGTGACCCTCCCACACTCCCCACGCTTTTGGCAAAAAGGTTAGCCATCACTGATATATACCATGATCTTTGGGGCTGCAGCATGGAAAAGTGGCTTTAATATCAGCCTAGATATACATACATCATAGAGCACTGTTTGAGGTATAGTAGACATTAAACATTTTTCATTATTTAGAACTTGTTATAAAGTTCTATATTTGAACACTGTAGCTGATTAGTATGTTACTTGTTGAAGCCTGATGCTAACTAACTCCAGCAAACGGATAGACATTCAGCTTCGTTCTGCACTGAATTTAAACAGCAGACAGAGAGAGATAAACCATCCCGAATTATAGCAGCCTTGCCACATCTAAATATATCTCTTAAATAGTAGGTAGCATGCAGTAAACTCCTCTACTTTTAATGAAAATCAGATTCTGGAGAATGGGACAGAGCTTGCTTTGGAATTACAGGAAATATAAACACAAATTCTTTGGGGAACTGAAAGTGTCAAGGCTGCCATATCGATCTCCAAGCCAAACTGCAGAAAACTTGCTCACTGATGCCTATTCTGTACAAACAAGAGCTCTCTCTCAAAAGGCAATAGAACATTTTGTTTCCCAAAACTCAGTGTTCTGGGAAAACTGCCTGCAGAAAGGGAGGGGCTGTATTAATCCAAATTGCTAAACTGAACCAGGGGGAAAAAAAAGGACTGACAAAGAAAGACCCAGGAAGGCTCCAATGAATGAGGAGGAAGTCAAGATTTACTAGTAAAGAATAGAAGAGGCTTTTGCTTAGCACATGGAATCAATGGCATTTCTGTCCATGGGATGACAGAGTTTAATACATGTAAGAGGCTACTAGGTTGGTTAGGGAAGGTTACTGTAGAACAGGAGTCCCCAACCTTTCGGACCTCAGGGACAACTAAATTCATAATTTTAAATTCCACAGACCACTAATATGATCTGCCTAATGACCAGCTGGGTGGGCGTGGCTAGGTGGGCATGTGACTGGGTGGGCATGGCCAACTCGATGGCCATCTTAATGTTATTCACATGGGGGGGCACCTTGCCGGCCTCTACTCACTCCTCCCCTGCCAGCCACTCCTCGCCTTCCCCCCCCCGGGCTCCTTAGGGCCCCAAGAAGAAGCAGTTGTTGGAACTAAGCAGCCACCATGAGAAAGAATTGGCAAAACAGCTGGCTCAGTTCGAATTGGATCTGACTGAGAAGGAGGCTCAGCAGAAGCACCTTTATTTATTTTATTTGTTTAAATTTCTATACCGCCCTTCTCCAAATAGGACTCAGGGCGGTGCACAGCCTAAGTAAAAACAAAGCATACAAAATTTAAAAAACAGTATTAAAATAATTAGATATTCTGGCCGTAAATTAAAACAACCCAATTTAAAACCAATTTAAAATTTAGCTCAAGCCAGCCCAGCTAGTTGAAATAAATAAGTTTTCAGGGCCCGACGAAAAATCCGGAGGTCTGTTATTATACGTAACTCCGGGGGAAGGTTATTCCAGAGGGTGGGCGCCGTCACAGAGAAGGCTCTCCCCCTGGGGGTCGCCAGCCGACATTGTCTGGCGGACGGCACCCTGAGGAGGCCCACTCTGTGCGAGCGTACTGGCCGGTGGGAGGCTATTGGTGGCAGAAGGCGGTCTCGTAAGTACCCCGGCCCTAAGCCATGGAGCGCTTTAAAGGTGGTCACCAACACCTTGAAGCGCACCCGGAAGACTACCGGGAGCCAGTGCAGCTCGCGCAGGAGAGGTGTCACATGGGAGCGCCTCGTCGCCCCCATAATCCCCCGCGCGGCCGCATTCTGGACCAGCTGGAGCCTCCGGGTGCTCTTCAAGGGGAGCCCCATGTAGAGAGCGTTGCAGTAGTCCAGGCGGGAAGTGACTAGTGCCTGAGTGACTGTGCGTAGAGAGTCCCGATCTAGAAAGGGGCGCAACTGGCGTATCAGGCGAACCTGATAAAAAGCCCCCCTGGCCACGGCCGTCAAATGGTCTTCTAAAGACAGCCGTGCGTCCAGGAGGACGCCCAAGTTGCGAGCCCTCTCCGTGGGGGCGAGTGATTCGCCCCCAATAGCCAGCGATGGCGTCAGCTGGCTATATCGGGACGCTGGAAGCCACAGCCACTCGGTCTTGGAGGGGTTGAGTCGGAGCCTGTTTCTCCCCATCCAGGCCCGCACGGCCTCCAGGCACTGGGACATCACTTCAAGGGCATCATTGGGGTGGCCTGGGGTGGAGATGTACAGCTGGGTGTCATCAGCGTACTGATGGAACTCCACCCCGAAGCCACGGATGATCTCACCCAGTGGCTTTACATAAATGTTGAACAGAAGGGGCGAGAGGACCGACCCTTGTGGCACCCCACAAGCAAGGTGCCTCGGGGTCGACCGCTGCCCCCCCGTCAACACAGATTGCGACCGGTCAGAGAGGTAGGAGGAGAACCACCGCAAAACGGTGCCCCCCACCCCCAACCCCGCCAACCGGTGCAACATGATACCCATGGTCGATGGTATCAAAAGCCGCTGAGAGGTCTAACAGGACCAGGATAGAGGAGCAACCCCTATCCCGAGCCCTCCAGAGATCATCCACCAACGCGACCAATGCCGTTTCCGTGCTGTGCCCAGGTCGGAAGCCGGACTGGAGCGGGTCAGATAGACAGTTTCATCCAGGTACCGGGGAAGCTGTTGTGCTACCACACTCTCAACAACCTTCGCAACAAAGCGAAGGTTGGAGACTGGACGATAGTTAGCCAAAGCAGCCGGATCCAGAGAGGGCTTCTTGAGGAGGGGCCTCACAACCGCTTCTTTCAAAGCGGCCGGCAGGACCCCCTCACTCAAAGAAGCGTTAACAATCTTCTGGAGCCAGCCTCGTGTCACCTCCCGGGAAGCCAGTACCAACCAGGAGGGACACGGGTCCAATAAACATGTGGTCGCATTCAGCCGTCCCAGGACCCTGTCCATGTCCTCGGGAGCCACAGGATCGAACTCCCCCCCAGATAACACTCTCAAGACCTGCCTCAGTCATCCCATCCGGACATACCCAGTCAGAGGCCAGCCCTTCCCGAATCTGAGCGATTTTATCATACAGATACTGCACAAAGTCCTCAGCTCGGCCCTGCAAGGGGTCATCCCGCGCTTCCAGATGGAGGAGGGAGCGGGTCACCCTAAACAGGGCGGCCGGGCGATTATCTGATGACGCGATAAGAGCGGCAAAATAGCTAGATTTTGCCGCTTTTATTGCCACTAGGTAGGTCTTAATATGAGACCTCACCAGTGTTCGGTCGGATTCGGAGCGGCTGGTCCTCCAACTACTCTCCAGACGTCTTTTCCGGCGCTTCATCTCCCTAAGCTCCTCGGAGAACCAAGGAGCTAGGTGAGTTCGGTGCCGGGTCAGAGGCCGCAAAGGCACGACACGGTCCAAGGCCCCGGCAGCCGCACTATCCCAGGCGGCCACCAGGTCCTCAGCCGAGTCGTGAGTCATAGTCTCAGGAAATGGCCCAAGCTCCATCTGGAACCTATCAGGGTCCATCAGGCGCCTGGGGCGGAACCACCTGGTCGGTCCCGCCTCCCTGCGGCGGGGTGCAGCGGTTAGAAAGTCCAGTCGAAGGAGCGAGTGGTCAGACCATGACAAGGGTTCGATGACTATATCCCCTGTACCTCACTCAGGACTACGAGCATAGGCTTTCCAAGCAGAGGAAAGAACTGCAGGAGTGCAAGGCCAGGTACCGGCTCCTGGAGGCTCAGCAGGCTGAGGTGGTCAGCCAGTTCCAGGCCATGATGCAGTCCCACTGGAACAAGGCCCTCCAGCTCCTTGCCACCAGCGACATTTCTCTCCAGCCTTCACCCAAAGTCCTGCACCAGGAGGCTGAAGCAGACCCCAAGTCGGAATTTCTGCCCCCCCCTCCAACCCACACAAAAAGATCCTGAAAGGAGAGACTCTCTGCAGCAACACAAACGTTCATTGCACGTAATCGGCCCAAGGATCATAGTCTGAGGACCCGATTTAGTGCAATATTAAAAAATGCAAATAATTTTTCTGCAGACCACCAAAGTTTTCTCGTGGACCATCAGTGGTCCATGGACCACCAGTTGGTGACTGCTGCTGTAGAATGAAGAATCTCTAGCCTATTAGCCTATTCTGTTCCCAACTGACCTACAGACCTATTGAGTAGGTATTTTCCCCTTTCTACTACTACTGCTCTATTTCACCCATGCTTTGTCCTTCCTCTTTAAAGGAGGATGCTCTTCAATTCCTTTCAGAATATGAATAAAGCCAGCAGAAACTCATCCCACAGATCACCAATATCATTAGCTTTATCCCAATCCATGCCCTCCCACTTGAGTATCACTTGAAAGGAAAGGAGACAGCATGAATGAAGCTAGTGGGATGATTTAGCACTATTTGCAGATTCCCAATCTTAGATGGCATGGAGTGATTCTTCCCAATTAGTCTGATGCAGCGGTGAAATCCGCCCGGTTTGCCAAACTGGTAGCACCGGCGGCGGTAAGCTCTGTCCACCCACTGGGACGTCATTACATCTGGTTTTTTAACCTTCTGTGCATGTGCAGAAGAGGGGTGCCTGCACGCGCGCTCCTGTGCGCTCCCTTTCCCGAACCGGTAGCAAAGATAAGTGGATTCATCACTGGTCTGATGCATGCCTTCCCCAAGGGGGGGGGGGCATTCCTTTTGGATGGCCCACCAGATCAGATGAGTACCTAATTTCAGTCCTCAGTCAAGCCTACTTCCCCAAGCAAAAGGGAAATGAATATGAAAACTGAGTAATCTATTACATTAATCTTCAACAGCATCTGCAAGTTGTCATGACATTCATGAGAATGATGGAAGCAACATTCAGAGAACTGTAAGTACCAGCCCTTTGAGATGAGCATGTTTTAAGGCCCACACAGCTATGCAAGATCAAGCAAGAATTATATTTCAATAAATTATGCAAATTTTGGAGTTAAATCCAGGATCTTGGAAACTGCAAGAGGAATGTCCAATCCTTATTTATAGTCAGTCAAGTTTCTAGAATGATATTAAATTTTTCCCTACATCTGGGCTGAGTTGCTGTTTGGATTCCCCTTCTGACTCTTCATTGTTTATGTCTACTTTCCCTTTCATTATTTTCCCCTCAGTTCTTACATCATACATAGAAAAGGGCCAGAGGATGTATCGAAATATGGTAATGCTGCTTAAGTCATTAACAATCTTCTCCCTTAGAGCCTATATTTATAGCAGGCCTTGTTGAGAGAGAGAGAGAGAGAAAGAGAGAGAGAGAAAGGAATAATTACTTTTAGAAATTATTATGGGATTCTAGTGACATTATTGCTGCCTCACTTTTTTTGCATAACATTTTTTAATGCCTAAATTGTTTCAATTCACTTGTGTTGTCTCACCTCAAATTTCAAAAAGTTTCCAAAACATTTGCCTGCATGTCTAATTTCACTTTGCTTCTACAAACCCTCCTCTTTGCAGGTCTTTTCCAATTATGTGACCCAGTTTCAGTACAGAGAATTCCTGCCATGCACACCAGTTTCCAATTTCCAGCTTTCCGTTTCGGGTTCACATGGCCTTGTCTCTCTTAGCCTTCCAGAGGGCTGTTATAACCTGTTTTTTCCCCCCAAGTATTAGAGCCAGGCAGGGATGAAATGCTCCCGGTTCAGATCGGATCAGGCAATCTGGTAGTGATTGTGGCAGGTGGTTCGGAGAACCGGTAGCAATGGCAGCGCAAGGCTCCGCCCACCTGCCCGTGTGTCATTACTTCCTGGTTTTAACCAGGAAGTAATGTGTTTTTTACCCTCTGAGCATGCGCAAAGGGTCTGCGCGGCGCTTGCACTTCCGAACCGGTAAGGAAGATAAGTAGATTTCACCCCTGGAGCCAGGGCATTTGTGTCTTGGTTATTTGTTTCTTGTATTGACTATTTCAATTGGTTATGAATTTTTGTATTGTTTTTGTGTGGGCTGCTCACCACCACATTATGTATTTAAGATGGATAGCTGTATACATTTTCTAAATAAAAATAAATTCCAACACAAAGGGGCTTTTTTCAAGAGGCAACTTGACTTTCTGGGGATTTTTTTGAAGACATTTCGCTTCTCATCCAAGAAGTGAAATGTCTTCAGAGCTGAAGAAGCTTCTTGGATGAGAAGCGAAACATCTTCAAAGAAAAACCAGAAAGTCCAGTTGCCTCTTGAAAAAAGCACCTTTGAGACAACCATGACCTGGATGACTGAGAATCTCCATAGACAATTCCAACACAAGAATATGACCATTGTAAACTCCAGCCTACATTCTGAACTGTTATCCCCGAATCCTCCTTGATCATGATTGCCCAAAAAATAAAATAAAATAAAATATTTCTTGATGTTTTAAGAGAGATATTATTGAGATATTATTGGAATATGCTTAGCATAGTATAAAAAGAAACAGGGCTCCTTCTTAAGTAAACAATATCCCAATCAAGGAACTACCAACAAGAGAAACAAACTAGCAACAACCTAATCAAAGAAATATCAAGAACACTCCCACCAACACTGTCAGGGCAAGCCAATAGTATATAAAACAAAACAATCCCACTTCTTATAACACTGAGGATGCTATACTTAGTGATAATGAAATGTCTCCAAGAAAACCATCAAGTTCGGAGAGCACCAAGGACCCCCAGAATCCTTCTTTGTAAATAAAAGCTTATTTTAAAACAACCACAAAACAAATGACTCCTACACTCTTTCACTTTGCCTATAAAAACTTGGTCTCAGCTTCATCCCGGTGGCTTTTGCCCCCTCTCCCCAAAAATTAGAGTCCCAGGCCAAGGTAAGATTGCCCACGTCTTTGCTAAAGTCATACCTCTAGAGCAGTGGTGAAATCCAATTTTTTTTACTACCGGTTCTGTGGGCGTGGCTTGGTGGGCGTGGTGTGGCTTGGTGGGCGTGGCTTGGTGGGCGTGGCAGGGTAAGGATACTGCAAAATCTCCATTCCCACCCCACTCCAGGGGAAAGCTATTGCAAAATCTCCATTCCCACCCCACTCCAGGGGAAGGATATTGCAAAATCTCCATTCCCACCCCACTCTGGGGCCAGCTAGAGGTGATATTTACCGGTTCTCAGAACTACTCAAAATTTCCGCTACCGGTTCTCCACAACCTATCAGAACCTGCTGGATTTCACCCCGCTCTCGAGCCCTAAAGCTCAAAATATAAGATAAGTCTTCATAAGAATTAGAAAAAAAAGATGCTCCCTTTTCCTTAATCCAGAAACAACATAAAACACTTATTTCCATGTATTTATTATTAAGGAAACTGAGCAACGGACATAAGACAGTGCACTCACCTGGATTTCCGCTTGCAATAAACGAGCAAGTTATCAAAAAGAAAAAATGTTCTCTCCTGGATGTTTCCAGCTGAGATTTTTAGTAAGTTTCCCTGAAGCAGAAGCTGGGTTGAAATGTCTGTCAGGTTGGAGCCCTAGAATACAAAAGAACTATTTCAGGATTCTATCTCATTACAGAACATATTATCAGAATTCTGGAGTGTCAATTTTAATCAAAGCCACCTTTCAACAGTAATGGCTGCTTAGAAATTATTTGACTAAATCTGTTGTTCATGTTCTTTTTTAAATATCATCTCTCAAAAAAATCAAATTATAAAAAGTAACTTAACTTTCTCTATCCTAATGCCTTCTGTTCAAGATATTTGCTAAGATTTGTTTTATTTGATACAAATTTCAACTATTCAGTAACCAGAATTCGCTAATCTACATAGATAGATATTTTTTTAAAAAACCTATAAAAAGCCACTAGCAAAAGAGCAATAACACATAAAGGCAAAGTAAAACCAGTTGTAAAATAAAACAGAGTAAAGATATAAAAACATTAAAATAGTTGTTTAAAAGCCTAAGAGTAGAAAGGGCTTTACTTATCACCTCCCAGAAACAACAGATAAACTGGGATGTACAAAAAGGAGACAAATGCCACCAGTGCAGGGGGACAGACTTATTTTCATTGATGAAAAGAACATTGATGCTCATTGATGAACACTGATTGTGTCTCCCAAAATCTTTTCCATATACCATTACCGTACTGGACTCGAGATAAACTATTCCCAAGTCTTTTAGAGTTGTGAAAATTAGAACCAGCATATTGATTAGAAAAATGGATTGGCGTTGCAAGCAGCAAACCATTGTTACATTAAGTTTTCATTTGTCATCTCAGGTTAAGAGTTCAGCCAACTTGTTTTAAACTAAGAGAAGTCTCCAGGATATTTTGAAAGACAGTCTTGCATATACTGCTTTGCAACATTCCAAATTATAAGGGAGGGAAGTATCAGAGCTAAGTAATCCAATTTTATGTTTCTAACATATAGTATGATTTCCTATGCAAGAAAACACGCAGGTAATATATTTCAAATAACAAGAAATAATTCCTGGCCAGCAAATTACTCAATTAATTCAATTTATAAGAAACACAGAACAAAAAATAGAGAAAGTATAAAAAATATATTTCTTATTTTGCAATGTGTTTGTCAGGGTCTAACTTCCTTATCTGCAGTGCAAACCAGACTAAGGAAGTATATTATATTAATGTGACCTACTGATGTCTTCCTAATAAAAAAAGACAAAAAATTAGTCCAGAATTGTGAAACACATACCATCAGCAAAAAATTTTCTTATATATTTTTATGCACCCACGCTAACAGAAGTTGCATACTACCCCAAAAGTGGGGTAGTGGCTGGGTAGGTAAACTACAAGCAATTTTGCAGATTTAATAAAGTACGATTAGTATTAGTGGTAAAGCGAAGGAACATCAGCATCAACAGGAAACATTCATATAAGTGCGCAAAAAAGATGCAGCTTAGAGAGACTAGCTTTCTTCAAATCATTTGCTGAATTGGTATCAACTGTGAAACAGAGATTTAGATCAGGAACTTCCTGGCTCACAGTTCAGTCTCATAGGTACATTACTTACTATTATGACACATTCTCAACTCTATTTAGAAGAACCCTCTAGTTTTGAAATCAGGATTCCGTAACATTTATTTGAAATAAATTAGGCTGTATCTATGTGTGACACAAGAATGATTCTGAATTGAGTAGGCCTGTTCGATCCACCTATCAACTTTTTTTATAGTCTATGTCATATAGTTCAGATAAGTGTGTAAAATATTTCCAGTTCTTAAAGATCGGTTTTTCCCAAACCACAATCTTCCAGATGTGTTCAATAAACAATGAGGATTTAGTCTAACAAACCAGTTGAGGAAAGCTATTTTAAAGGGTATAATTTTCATATCTTGTTTGAAATTCATGGATCTGTATCCATGCTTAGTTATACAGTTATCCAGTAAATTCAAAGACTGAAAGTTGATTATAATTGGCAAGCAAGGTTACAGAAAATGTGTTTGGCAATCACAGGCTGCACGCAACCCATATAAGCAATTTATTTCTGTCCCTCTGCTCCCCAAGGAACCACCACTGAAACTTGGCAATACAATAGGGAAATATTGGTGGTAAAATTTCAGCCTGTTTTCTAAAGTTTTAATTAGTTTTACCAATAGAAATGGAAATTATTTTCATATGAAAAACTTGTACTCTCAACTCATCCTAACATTAAACCCCACCAAAACATGCACTGATGTAACCCAATACACTGAAAAAATCAAAAACTAATTAAACATTCAGATCATCAGGTGTATAGCACATATAGCCTTAATTATGGAAAATAGAAAGTACTCCATTAGAGGAGAAAGTAAAGTAAGTATTAAAAAAGGACTATGAAGATCAAATGTAAGAATAATTCTGATATCCATGTATTGTTGCAGCTCGCTCTCAGTATTGAATTTTCTTTTTTAAAAGTACAATATTTTTAG